AGGATGTTTGGGGTGACTGACGTTTTGTAAGAGAGCAGGGTGGATTGAGAGAAGTAGAGGATGCTGGGGTCAGTTGGGTGGTAAGACCTGGTAAGGCCATGTCTGAGACTGAGTTTCTCTAAGTGAAGGAGAACCTGGGAAAAGATGTTAGCTGAGGAACTGAGGAGTCTGGCATAGGCTTTCATAGGGCATTGGTCCTGAGACCAGTGAGGGGGCAGAAGGACCCTTTGGGAGGTTGTTGGAGGAGAGGTTGCCATGGTAGGGACAGGGTGGCATGAGGAGAAATGGTGAAGTGATTGAGTCTGAGGATCTATTTTTAAGACTGAATTAGTAGAATTTGTGTTTGAGTATGAGATGAGAAGTTAGGAGCAGCTGTGGGGTTTGTTTACCAAGTAGTCAGATAAAAGGAATTGTAGCCACTGATGTTAGAAAAATCATTTTTGTTCCATTCTTGGGGTCATTGTAGATGTTTAGAAACTGAATCAGAGAACTTGTGCAAGACAATGTCTAGAGCTCAATTTGGAGAAAGTAGTTAAGAAGGCTCAAAGTTCATTGTTTGTCAACAGTTGTACTATGCTTTGTAGAGGTAGGTAGATGGTACCACTTGGGAGGAGGAAAAGGTATCTATGGTCCTTATTTGCAGACAGTGGGAGTGTTGTGAACGACAGATGAACAGAGAATGAGAGGCAGCCTCATGCCCGATTTGGCTTTACTTTTACTTGTGTTCATCTTTACTGATGACAGAAACTGCATGTAATCTTGATAGAGTCTTTTGTTTTTCTCAGCTAGTTGTTTTCTCAAATAGCACATAATGGTGTGTGTGTGTGTGTGTGTGTGTGTGTGTGTGTGTAATATAGAAAATATACTCATGAAACTATTAAATGAATTGCGTATGATTAACATTTAATTTATAGGACCAGTAATTTTGTGAACTTTGCCCCCAAACAGCATGAGATACTTCCTGATTATGCACCTTTGTATCTCAAGCTGCTTTCTCATGACTGGCTGCTAGCTAGAACAGTTGCCTATCCTTGATATGTAGTGGCATGCTATGCCTCTGTCTGAATTCTGAATTTAATAATGCGCAAATGTCCCTTTGCACAATATTATGTGGCTCTTCTTTGAACTAAAGCAGTTTGTGAAAACACAAACATAGGACATTTTGAGCAAGCCCAGTCACCAGAAATTAGTATTTGTCATTGGTGGGTAAAAGAAGGACTTGTTCTCAGATAATGTCTCTCAGTGAAGTGTGTTTGTTACTAGCCACATGCTAGGTGACAAGAGAATAGGGTCGAGGTCTCGAGGAGCCTGTTGTCTGCTGAGGAATGGACAGTGTAAGTGCTTGAAGCAGCTCGAACAAACCCAAGCTTCAATGCCCTTGAGCATAGAGTGAAAGCTTCAAGACAACCTCTATCTTCAATTAAACTCCCTGTAGAATGAAGACTTTGAGAGTATGGATTACATTGAAATCAGTTAAAGGGCAATGCCCAGAGTGACACGTTTGATATGTACCATCAGCTCCAGTGTGTGATGAAGTGCTTCTAAAGGGATCATGAGTGTTGAAATCAGGACAAAAAGATGGAAAATGAATTGTCAGGCTGCAGTGAACCATTTTGAGAAGCTTTGACTAATTGGTAAAGGAATACTAACACCACTGACAACATGGAAAATTTGGAAAAATGATCTGTTTAGAGAGAGCCCTATTGGGAGTGTGAATTGATAGGAGGAAGGAAATGGGATCTGGGAGCGTTGCCTTGTGTTACAGGGTTTTCTACTGTGTTGAGACATTCCCAGCACTCACAGTTCACTGCTTTGCTTTGCCCCTCTTGGGGTCATGATTCTGATGAAAATCCCTGGCCTACAGACTAGTATGGTTTGTGGCTTCATATTTGTGATGGAAAAAGAGCGTTTTTTCTTTTGCCTTTTCTCTTTGATTTCCTTCTCTTTCTTCCACACTTGTTTCATGTCTTTTGTGACTGTTGAAAATATGTAAGGAGATCACACAATTCCTGCTGAGGAATGACCCTTTTTCTACTTATTTTTCTACCCTCCGTTAATTTGTGATATAACAATCTTCCCCAGAGTAATTAATTATAATTTCACAAACCCAATGAAAAATAAGTAGCAGAAGCTGATGAACCTTAAACAATAAATATTCGCCTTTTATGCAGCTGCCACTAGTAATTAGGAGAAAATAACTAAGTAGAATTGGACCTGAGCTCACTTGATTGCTTTGAGAGGCAGTCACCCATTTTTTTGGTGCATTTACTAGTAGCAGCTATTGTGGAATATTTTGGTGAATGGCTATGGTACATTGCCACCTTGTGGCTGCAGTGTTCTTTATGGTGGAAAAGAGCAAACTGCTAATGTTAAATCTACGTGGTAGAACCTTATTTTGCATTTTTTTCCCTAACAGTTCTACTTCCCCTGGATCCAAATGATTGGAGACATCATAAAAGAATACATAGATTATAGAATAGGTGGATTTTAGAGATCACCCATGTTATTAGAAAAAGCATGCTGAGGAATTAACAGGGAGGATTCATGTCTGCAGCTGGCATGCTATGCATGTGCATGTGTGTATGTGCACAGGAGAGAAAGCAAAGGCAGCATAGGGAAGAGCAGTTTGGCCTTGGCACTGAGCATACCTCTATTCGTTGCATCACCCCTTCACTCTTCTAGAGGCACACTTTGTAATGAGAAACTTCTGTGCCAAAACTAAATTTAACAATACCCCCCCCACAAAAAAAACCACCCTGATAAGGACCTAACATGGCACCAACAAGAAGGCACAAATTGCCGGGCGTGGTGGCGCATGCCTTTAATCCCAGCACTTGGGAGGCAGAGGCAGACAGATCTCTGTAAGTTCGAAGCCAGCCTGGTCTCCATAGTGAATCCAGGACAGCTGTGGCTTCAGGGAGACCCTGTCTCAAAAAGACCAAAAAGAAGAAGGCACAAATAGCCTCTATGTTGTCTTGGTGGTCTGGCTGTAGTTGGATTATGGATTGGGTTCTGCCTTTTCTAATAGCTGATGAGTGACTGTTCAGATTTCCCTGGCAACACTTCATTGTCTGTAAGATTTAGGGGCAGAATGTCTAAGGCTAGATAGAAATCCCTCCTTGGAGGCCCTTCTAAGTGGACACTTAGGTAATGAACAGCATCCTAGGCAGATGCCTTCAGATAACTGCAGCTCCTCATTTGAAAGGGCTATTTCTTTCTAAAGTGCACTCTGGAGTCCCTTTCCCCTCCTGATCTGACTCTGATGCTAGCTCTTCAAGGCCTACTCACTAAAATGCCAACTAGTGATGAAATATAGTTAAGAACTGAGTGTTAGGGATTTTGAGATGGCACTTAGTAAAAAGTGCTTGAAATCCTTTGTTGCTAATGAACACAGTTGAGGTCAGGGAAATGTTTACATCTTGAGGCAGCTGAACCAATAAAGGTTCTATCTCAATTATCTAGGGAGGGGATACCCACAGGTAGGCACCAGTTTCTTTTTGTAGTGAATATGTTCAGCACATGGACAAAGGGGTAACTTAGTCCTTGAATTTCTTCTTCCTATAAAACATCTATGATACCCTTAAAAAAAAGAGTCAGTTATACTCAAGTAACCACCTCTTTTCATCAAAACAAACCTTGGTGAAATCCTCCTTAAAATGCCTGGCTCTGAGCAACATGCTTTTGGGGGGCGGTCTTTTTCCCTGTAGTCCCAGCTGGCCTAGAACTCACTAGCCCAGGCTGGCTTTGAGCTCACAGAGATCCACCTGCCTCTTCCTTCTGAGTACTGGAATGAGCAATATACTTTTGTGTAGCAACTGGATTTCTATGACTCCTTAAATATATGTGTTTGCCCTTCATACAGATTGTACATATATGTATATATATGCACACAAATATTTTTGCACTTAATAACTATGTCAATATACATGCCTGCATTTGCACTTAAAGGTGAACATTTAGAAGCTATGACACTCTTGAGGTATGAAAGATTTTCTTATAAAAGTGGAGCTGATCTTGACATAGGTGTTTTGACATGGGGATTCCTTTGTAGAAAGCTGTCTCTTGAAGTGACTTTAGTTTCTCCGATTCTGTGACAGGCTTTCCTTTTTGGAGCTATAAAGCAATGTGAGGATGTATTGATTTCTATTAAGCACTGTAGTGCTTAGAAATTCCTCCCTTGTACCCTTGTATGTATATGTATGAGCAGTATGTGGGTTTTCTTCTGTGAGCATCTAAGAATGTCATCTGTTACTTCATACAGTCCTATTCTTCAATTTTGAGTGTTCACAGAATGACATATTTTATGTAGGAGTCCAGGATGCACATAGAGACCTCTATAGCTCAGTCATGAAACAATACCTTCCCCTCTTTCAATTTTTCTTGTGTGGTGGTTTCATGTACGTGTGTGTATGTGTGTGTGTGTGAAGCCCAAAGGTCAGCCTTGAGTGTCAATCCTCAGATGATATTTACCTTGTTTTTTGAGACAGAGTCTTTTCAGTTGTCTGGAACTCACCAAATAGACTAGACTGGCTTGCCAGCAAGCCCCAGGGATCCACCCATCTCCATCTCTCCAGTGCTATTATTACAAGCATGTACCACCATGCTAGACTTTTTTATATAGCTTCTGGGGATCAAGCTTGGGTCCTCATAGTTGCGTGGTAAGCACTTTACCAACTGAGCCATCTCCCCAGCTCTCATTGGGCCATAATCATTTCTATTCCATTGAGTTAAAAAGTTGTGGTCACAATCTACTACACTTAATTTCATGACCTACTAATGTGTTGTGACCTGCATTAAAAATCTTGTACTGAAGTTTTGCAGCAAGTAAGACTGTCTTTCAGATGAAGACAAAACAGTGAAATCCAGAGCTTGCCAAACTAGCCAAATTGAAAACAGGGCTGAGAGGAAAGAAAAGCAAAAAGGCCCTGAGTGGGTTGATCTTTCATTCTGGATTGTGCTGGATGTCTGCACTAAATGACATACTGTCCTTCTCTCCGCAGCTTGACCACATACTGTCCCCACCACCCATGCCATTTCGGAAATGCAGCAATCCAGATGTGGCTTGTGGCCCAGGAAAGTCACTGAAGTATAAGAAACAGCTGAGCGAAGATGGGAAGCAGCTACGGCGAGGGAGCCTGGGAGGAGCCCTCACTGGTGAGTCAGAGTCTCTTGGACCAGAAGAAGATCTGTGCTTCTACCACATCCTATCAGTTGTGGAGATGAAATCCACATGTGGAAACCCGCCTGCAGATCCTTTGCAAAACCAAAGTGTGTGACCAAGGATAGGACTTTCATATTAAAAGTCACCCACTCAGGGTTCAGGGACCACTAAGGAAGAGAGGGTGAAAAGATTTTAAGAGCCAGGGGTGGTGGATGACCTCAAGGAAACAGTTGTCCAGGCTTCTGGGAACTTGATCATATGAACTTAGGGCAATGGTGTCAGCATGCACAACTCAAACCAGACAAAAACCCAGCACAGAACTGGAGAAATGGTCAGGAGGCCCAAACCTTAGCTGAGGAAATATTGACAGCTGATCACTATTGGGTGAGGGAGAGTTGGTCTTCTTTAAAGGGGTAATGCTAGATAGGCTGACCAGGCTCCAGTGGAAGAACTCACACTGAGGGACATCTGGGGACACAAACTTAACTTGATAAGCCTTTACATATATTACAGAATACATGAAATCTGGTGGTGGGGCTATGAGGGAGTACAGATAGGGGAGGGGATCTAAATATGATTAGGATATATTATATGAATTTCACAAAAATTCAATAAAATATATATTTAAAAAAAATCCCATTCAGTCCATAAAGCAGTTAAATCAAGGATTTGAATAGTAAAGTTTGATGAAATATAATTTGTATATGGTGACCTAGCCCCACTTTACATGTACATATGTATGCATTTGGGCAAATTTATACACTGGTGTAATTGCAAGCATGACCAAATTATAGAATATTCTCTGTGGCCATCCTAAGTACATGTGTGCATACACACACACATACACACAGACACAGACACACAGACACAGACACACACACACACACACACACACACACACATCTATCCTTGGCCCAAAGCAATTGTAGATCTGGTGTCTGTCTCTGCTGATGGGATTCATCTTAAGTGTTTTGTGTTAATGGAACTGTATAGCCTGTGCTTCTGTGTCTGGTGTCTCTTGCTCAGCATACTGTTTTAAAGATTTGTCCACATTATTGTATCATTGATGTTTATAAGAAACTGACAAGATGTCCAAGATAGTTCCACTTTACCATGCCACCAACAGTGGGTGGCCAAATCCTTGCTCTGCTGCCTTACCACCGTGTGATGTGGCCAGTCTGAGTAAGCTTAGACATCTTCATGTTCACTCATATTATGGTTTTCTGTTGTAGTTCCTTGGTGGCTAGTATGTTAGCTTTCTGTTACTCTAACAAAAACCTGAGACAGTCAACTTGTGAAAAGTCTGGCTCACTGCTTTAGAGATTTCAGTCCATGACCACTAGGCCTCATGGCTTTGAGACTGTGACAGAGCAGCACGTTGATGGCACGAAGTCCATGGCGGAGTGTGTCTGCTCACTTTATTGCCTGGAAGAAAAAAGAGAGAAAGATAAAGGAGCTGGCTCCCACAATCCCCTTGAAGAACATGTCCCCAGTGACCTGAAGACTTCTCACTAGACCCCCTACCACCTCTTAAAGTGTCACTTCTTCTCAACAGCTCCATCCCAGGGGTCAACCCTTTAACAGTTGGACCTTAGGAATCACTTAAATAGACAGTGTATAAAATGTTGTGTGACTATTGGATATTTATGTATCTTCTTTAGTGAAGTATCTATTAAAATCTTTACTCAGGTCTAGTTGCATTGTTATAGTAAGCAACTTAAAATTTTTTCAAGTCAAGTACAAAAAGTCAAATTTTACATGCTACCTATGAGATAACTATAAAAACTCCTTATTGTAAGAGAGAAAAAAGAGTTGTTCTTACAGAGAGCAGAATACTGGAACCTGGGAAAGTGAGGGTATAGAAAGAAAAGTTCACAGGTTGGCTAGGAGAAATAACACTGCTGTTCTGTAGCACAGTAGGACAAATATGATTGGTAGCGGCTGATTCCATTTTTAATAGTGGATAGAGAGGTACCTTGAATGTTCTCAACACAAATGTTAAATGTTGGAGGTGATGAATGTGCTCTGATGTGATTATTATACATCATATATGTATATTGAAGCACACGCTGGGGTTAGGGTGTGGCTCGGTGCTAGAGCACTTCCCTAGTACTTATGGGCTCTAGTTTGAATCCTAGTTCCAAAAAAATATGGATAGAAGAGAAAAAGAAAAAACAGAAGAAAAGAAAAAAAGCACTGTAACCCATTAACCTCTATAATTATTATATATCAATTGAAAATAAAAATATGCATTAAATAGGAAGACAAAAAATAAATTGGAGATGAAATTTTTACATCAAAATTGAAATTCCTGGGGCTATAGGAGATACTGTCTAAAAATAACAATAATAATTGAAATTCTTAAAAATCTAAAACATCCATACATCAATTTTATTTTAGATTGAAAAATAGCCAAACAATGATAAGTTAAAGCATTACTTTAACAAAAGGTTCGCCACTTAAACTTTCATGTTAAACTTGACTTTAAGTCACTAAAGATTAGGTTTCTGTTTCATCTGATGCTTTTTTCTCTAAATGGTAATTTTTTGAAGGAACTTCATTGGTTTTAAGTCCTGAACACTACTTTGTCTACATATGACAGTGTCGCCTGCCAGTTCATAAATGGTCTGGAAAATAGTTTAAATTACATTTCTTTTTGGAATTACGGTTTTGGCTTTCTGGAGACGGGATTTCTGAGAATGGAAGTATGCTGCCCCGTTGTAGAGTCAGAGCATTCAGCCCAGAGAGGCACAGCATTGGATGGAGGGAGGGTGAGCTTGACCTAGGCCTAGGGAAAGACAACGTTAAAAAAAAAAATGCCCCCAGGGCTGGGGAGCTGGCTCAGTCAGTAAAGTGTTTGCTGTGCATGAAGAGCAAGATTGGATCCCTGTACCCACATAAAGCTACGTGCAGAAAGTTCCACCTGTAATTCTAACACTGAAGGAATGGAGATAGACAATCCCAGGGGCTGTCTGGCCAGTTAGTCTAGCCAAATTGTCAGCTCCAGGTTCACTGAGAATCCCTGTCTCAAAAATAAGGTGACAGGGCACAGATCGGGGAGAGTGTCTAAGTTTGATTAAGATCTATTATATGAAATGCACAAAAACTCAATAAAAATATGTTAAAAAATAAGGTGGCAAGCAAAGAGGAACATAGCCAATGTTAACCTCTGGCCCTCACTTTCACATGACACATACACGCAACATACATACACACGCACGCAGGCACTCACACACACACACACACACACACAAATGACTGCACTCTGCATGCATGGCAGTGCATGCTAGTAATTTCAGTTCTGGGAGGCAGAGACAAGAAGGTTTTGAGTTTGAGGCCAGCCTGGGCTATGCATTGAGGCCAGCCTGGGCTATGCATTGAGGCCGTGTCTCAGAGAAGCATAAGAGGCTGCACTTCACTGAGCTAAAAGCCAGGTTTTCACTGCAGTCCTCCTAGTACCCCTTTAATGCTTGTTGGGACATTTCTTGCTCTCCTTTTATAGATGAGACTGCTGTTGTAAGTTGTGCAGTCTGAAGACTATTTGGTCTGACCCTTAATTGATAGGTAGAGAAATGAAATCTTGATGGTTAAGACTCACTCTCTGTTTCATTTTAATTAAGAAGTTTATTTTGATTGAACTGTTTTTGGCAACAGGCAATACTTATTTTTATCTTTTTTTCTGAAATAGTTTACTAAAAGCTTTAAAATGATTCAAAATCTTGCAGGTATATGACTTGAAGTATGAAATTTGGTTTTTAGCTTTATAAAAACTAATAGTTGTACCTGGTTCCCATTTCTTAATCTTAGCAGGTCTAGCAGTTTTAGCCTTATACAGTTTGGATGCTGTACAATTATTTTTTGGCGGTTAAATCTTAGGCAAGACTTTAAGAAAAATGTTTAATCGTTCTTAAAAGATCTTTTTTAAAAATGCATACTTTGAAGCCTATACTAATTTGGTCAGAGGGACATAAAGGACAGTTTTTGCTCCTTGCCCTCCTAGGTCAACTAGTTCTAGGGGACTATGAGCATCTCTCAAAATGTTCTGTAATTGTGGTGGGTCACCTGTCCTCTTGATCAAGGAGGCTGAGGAAACTCCACCAGATGGACTTGAACCACTGCCCAGTTTGCAAAGAGGAGGGTCAACACAGAGGAATCACTTCCTCCATGCTTCCAAGTGAAGCCAACCATGGT